AGAGAGAGAGAGAGAGAGAGAGAGGGAGTGAGTGAGTGAGTGAGAGAGATAAGGTGTAATTAAATAAATCGTCCCCCCTTAAAACAATGTTCTGAACAGTGTAATAATACGTTCAAAGTCTTATGTTGCAGTAAACATAATAAACATAATATTACCTTTTTGGGTTTAGCGTTCGTTTTTTAAAATGACGTCACATGTAACACATTTTTACTTAAAGAAATATAGTCGGTTTCGACTCTGTAGGATTTATTTAAATTATAGTATAAGATGGATAGTTCGAATTCGTCCGGGCCGGCCTCGGTAGTTCGAGGGATCCGTATTTCGAGTGATACGTGAACAGTGTTATGGCATCTGCTGTGTCAGAGAATCAAGGGAAGCAACAAAGATTGCTACTTAGGGGGCGAAATAACAGATCGTGTGCTGCACACAACCCTTCCTCTCGCCTTCTCCGAACAAGCCCTGCTAGATAGTCACTGGGCACGCGTGTCGAGCAGTGCCCAAAAAATAGCACAGCTAGCTGTTTCTGTGGAAGGGGGGGGGGGGGCATTTTACTGATATTTCCCTTTTCCATTAAAAAAAAGTATTATTACTATTACTATTTTGTCTCAAGTACATCTCAAAGGACATTGACTTTAGACCTCCACGGCGGCGCAATTAGTTCGACTATTCCGTGTTTGTGTTCGAGCTTCGCGTAATTTTCTGACAAAGATAAAGAAGAAAAAACAAACAAGACCCCACGCACAATTCGACAGAAGCGTGATTTCGAGCCTTCTGTGTTCGACCTATCCGTGTTATACAGTATTATGTTTTCGAATTTATAATGGTTGGCCTTTTTGACTATATTCGTGACTTATCAAAATGGTCTTTTAGACGGTCATAGAGCAACGTTACCGGCGTCTGTGGTGTAATGGTTAGGCATAAAAAAGACTCGAGCTCCACTCCCGAATGATTAGAGGAATGTTTTATCATACGGTCTTTTTGTATCATCTACGATGTTGCGTCCTTCTCGGCCCTGGTCGGCCCTGACAGGCAGCGTCGATGCCCTCTTACTACATGATTTAAAGTGTGTCAATGGGGGCGTAAAAACACCCACATAAAAGAACAATGTATTGCATTATAATGTTTACCCCCACAGCACAAGAGTATGAACATTAAGGGAACTCTAACCCGTGTCATACCGCTACTTCAGAATTACAAAGTTCTATTTGACATTTTTAGCCGTTTTGAGTTACTAAGACCTTGAGGTCAGAAATCAATGTTTTTAATGCTCTATCTGCTCCATCCAAATCGCAAGATTATTCTGAGTCGTTTTAAAGCTATTCAACTAACTGCATTGGAAAAAGTTTGAAATATCGTGGAACTGAATTTTGTTTTACCTCAAATGTATTTAACGGTAAGTACTGAGCAGATAGAACTTTGTAATTCTGAGGTAATGATACATTGTACCAATATTCTACTTGACCTATCGGAAACAGAAACAAATAGGAACAAATTAACAGATAATACGATACCTCTAAGGCGATGAAGGAAAAAGCATCTGGTTTGTGTAGCCCGGTCACATGCGCTCCCATCGTGTGTTTTTCATTCACTTTATTGTTTGAAAACGCCGTGATAGTAGCAACTTCACTGAAAAAACCATCAAAGTTTATAGGATGTCTGAGAAGAAAAGAGTTAAACACAGAGCTTTACTTCTTAAAAGCGCCCTGCGAAAGGGGCGTGGTCAGTCCGTTTTGGTCTCAGAACAAAAGTAATAAAACTGTGATCGCCACATT